AGATCGATGAAGTCGACGCAGACTCTCCACTTATCATTTTTTTCTTAACCACCACGAGGTTGGCGAGACTGTACATGTATAGAGTCGGCCTTCAGTAACTTATCCACTTCATCGTGAACAACTTCAGCTCGTTCAAAGCTGAGCTTTCGTCGGTTCTGGTTGATAGGCTTGAATGTCACATCAATGTTCAGCTTATGACTGGCTATCTCTGAACTGATTCCCTTTATGTCGGCCATCGACTAGGCGAATGTGCCGATGTCTTCGCCTAGAAAGACTATGAGCTCATCTGGCATGGTTAATAGCAGCTCGGTGTCGATTCCAACGCAATGATCTGAGTTATTCACGTTGATATTTACTTGAATGACCAGGTCATTCTTTGGTTTCTTGTGATGCATAAATCGGGGGTCTAGGCTATCAATGACGAAAGTGGAAAAGTGGCGAACGCGTTATTCAGCTATGTAACAAGATTGAGATTTCTGTTGGTTGCCATTGATGGTTATGATGCTTATTTTGCCCAGACATTTCAGGCATTGGTGTTACGGGGAAGGAACAGCGTGTATGGTACTGATCCATGGTGCTCGAAGATGATATTAATCGTTGATTTGTCAATTGTAACAAATTTGACGATCTTAATGATGCCCCCGATCAGAATAGGCAGCTTGATTGTTCCAATGGTGGAAGTGGAATTGCTTGTGAAGCCTGTGAGTGACTTAAATGCTACCTTTGCTATCTTTTAATGCTCATCTGGGTAAGTGTCGACTTGAAGATTAGGTCAACCGAGCTGCCTGTATCGATGAGAATTTTGGAGACCTCGCTGTCTAACGCGTAGAGCGATAACTAAGGGGTCATTATGAGGGCGGCCAAGCCTGTTGGTGTTTGCTTCAGTGAACGTGATGGGTGGGATATCTTCGTAGTCCGAGATGGCCGTTTTGGTGTTGAGAGCTTGGCGTTCGTGCTTCTTGATTGAGTTGATCGAGTCATTGCATGTGAGAAGGTTGCCCATAATCGTGTTAATCTTTTGACGTGGAGATGTTGGCTTTGGCAAGTCGTCATCCCATTTTTGTTTGGGATTCTCGTTGGTGCGGGCTGAATCATGTCGGGCCTGTTGCGCAGGCGTGCGTCTGTCATAATTTTGGTGACGTTGATCATCTGTGCGGGGCCAGCGTTGCTGAGCATCGTTCCAATCTCGGTTATCACGGTGGACTTCACTTTGTTTCCATTTTTTCTTTAAGTAATCACATAGTTTAAGACAATTATCTGTATCATGACCGGGTCGATTGTGATAGGTGCAGAATTTTTACGTGCCCGATGAATTGTTCGTGTTGTGATCCCATTTGTTTCATTGTGGAGGCCGGGTGACCACGGCCATGTTAGTCTTTTGAAACTTGTCGTCCCAACCATAGTTTTGTCAGGGCTCGTGGTGGTCATCCTCCTTTTCCTAGGTTGATGTGCTTTTGGTCTTTTTTGAGCCTCGTGTTCCTCTAAAATCATGAATCTGTTGGCTTTATGCCGGATGTCATCAAGAGTTTTACTCTTCCTGTTCGTGAGCTTGTCGAAATACTTTTGTTTTTTTCTGATATCTTGTCTTAGTGCGGCTAAGGCGACATCATCTGAAGGATTACAGTGGGAGACGATAGTACGGACTCGGCTTATATACTCGCCTTGCACGCAGCCCCTCATGTTGATAGTTGATGTCCAGTGCTCGAGGTACATCGAGTAGTGCTTCAGGAATGCTATAGAGAGTTGCTCGAAAGTCTCTAAAGAGTTTGGTTTCAGCAAGAAAAATCACTTAAGGGTATTTTATGTAAGGGATCTACGAACTATTGGCAGAAGGATGCGTCATATTCTTCACCTGAGAAGCGGGCTCGACCCATGGCGGCATTGAAGGTCGTAAGATGCTTATGGGGGTCTGAGTTACTGGTGTATTGTTAATTTGAGCTTCACAGTGTCATAGAATAGGATGCTGGTGATGCATTCCATGAAAGGGGTTTGTCGAGTGAGCTTGAGGACTGTTTCTAGCTTTGACGTAATGTCGTTGATCCATTGGTGCAGGGGGTCAAGCTCGGTTGGCTCAGGGATGGCAGTCGGGGTGGTAAGGCGGGAATAATGTTTAGATCGGGCGTTAGAGTCTTCAGTCTTTTGCTTGTCCTGCTGTGCTTCAATTGGTTAGTCTCCAAAGATTAGTCTCATAGCTCCCGACTTGCTAATGCGTACTGGTAGCTGTGGACTTTTAGGGGTTTCGACTTCTGTCACGTCGGCATCATTGTCTTCCTGACGTGGATCTCTATGACAGGCATTGTTGATTGTTTCGAGGTAAGAAAACTGGTGAGCATGCAAAGCCCCAAGTTCATCTTTGTTCCATATGTGTCATGAAGGCCTGTAGGAGGACGGGTAAGATGTTGTTGATTACTGGTGATGGAGGTGGTGGCAGTGGTGTTTTGTCTTTGTTGGGATGGGCTGCATTGTTGTCCTTGTGCTGAGCTCCTTCCATGTTTCTGGTCTGAGTGCCGTACGGATTGCTGGGACCGGTAACTTTGTGTGATGTACTTCCAAAGTTGGATGTTTTAACCATCTTGGAGGTTACGGTTTTTCTAAAACTTGTTCTCTTTTAAGACTGTGCCATTTGTAAGATCTCAATATAACTTACGGAAATAATAAAGAGTTGTGGGGGTTGAAAAGAGATAATTTTATTGAATATAATAAATACAAAAATATTAAGTTGTTGAAATAATCAATAGGAGAATTCAAGACCTAAAACAAAAAAAAAGCTATAAGCTAAATTTTACTCTAAGTCTCGAGAGGAAAAACGACCAATTTTCTTATAAACTAATAAATTCTTGATGATTCATGTATGATCTATTAACCAATGCTAATAACTATATGAATTATCTAAAATTTTGAAAATACTACATGAACTAAAGAAATATGATCGATTCCATCAAAATCGCATATAACGTTATTTGTAGCGTTAGCGATTGTTGATTAGGACGACACGTGATGTAGAAAAATGGCTGATATAAGCTTTCAAATTCCTAATGATTCATATATGATATATGAATTAATGCTAATAACTACATGAACTATTTAAAATTTTGAAAATACTATATGAACTAAAGATATATGGTCGATTCCACCAAAATTATATACAATAATTTTTTATAAATTAATAATATTGAGACTTCAAAATTTTATTAATTAATCAATAAATTATTAATTATTAATTTATCAAATATTAATGTATAAAGATATTTTTCAGTTCGAATTCTTAATGTTTATCAAAAAATAAAAACAAATATTTTTAACAACGTAAAATTCATCAATAATATCATAACAATGAATTTGGAAGACAAATCAAATAATATTTATAAACTTATTTAACTATATTACATTATTTATAGGAGAATCGGTCATTTTTCACACCACGTGTTGTCATAGTCAGCAATCGCTAACACTATAAATTACGTTATATGCGAATTTGGTGGAATCAACCATATTATTTAGTTCGTATAGTATTTTTAAAATTTTAGATAATTCATATATTAACATTGATAAATAGGTCATATATGAATTTGTTAGTTTTTTCCGGTTTTAATGTTAATGAACTTGTTAGTTTATAAGGGAATTAACCGTTTTTCCAAGTTTGAAAGTGTGTGAATGAATGATTTCTATCGAAAGAATGTTTTTTTTAATATATACCAGATGCCGTGAAAGTAGAGAATTCTTTTTTTTTAGGAAGAAAAACTTTTGTCTATTTCAAAAATTTTTTTTTTTACCAATTTAAATCAAATAATAATTTATATTTTTAATAAGTTGATCTGAATAAAAAAAAATTAAAGAGATGTTAAATCCATATGCAATAATTATATTATCTAAGAAAATAGTATAATAAAATAGTTTATTATCGGTGAAATATATCAATGAACCATATACAAAATATGGATATGCATAGATATATTTTTAAATAAAATAACATAAAGAAGAAGTAAAAAATAGAAGGTGATATTAGATAAAATAATATGTTATTTATTTAAAATTCACCTAAATCTTTTAGTAATTTAACACTAAATATGATACTAACCTGAAAATTATTCATCCAATCAAAAATTAAAATCACTAATTAGGTTGGAAAATTACATGCCTATAAATCTCTGTTTATAATTATTCATAAAATGTTTGTAACAAACAAATGAGTAGGTTAGACCATTTTTATTAATGGTATCTCACCAAATCTTTTAATATTAAATATTAATAAAGTTAAAAAAAAAGAGAGAATATGATTGATTCATCTCATGTGTTATCTTCATATGATAGATTTAAATTTTTATTTATAATTTATAATTAAAAATATCAATTAATTTATATTAAAATTATTATTATTAAATTTATGAGAGACTTAATGTTAGTCAATGGAAAATCCAAACCCCATCATTGCCTAATCCTGTCTCATCCATACCACTTTTCACTTCATTAAAATCCAAACCCCATCATTGCCCATCACTAATCAATAAACAATTATAGTAATAAACCCAAAAACGGATTATTGAAACCCTACGTGGGACACCACTTCTCCAAGTCCTTTTCCATTTCCGTAAAGTGTTTTTCTTTTCCGTATCAGAGATATACTTACGTGGTTTTCATAACCGCCGTTAAATTTGATCTTTGAAGATCGAACGGAGAGTGTAAGAGACTCATAGGTACACCTGCGTCGCAGAAGAAAAAACATCACCATTAATTAAAACACCGTTGCTCCCGAGGTAGAAAGAGAAAACAAAAAGATAAAATTTGATTTTTAAAATAAATTGAAAACAATACTACTAATTTTATATAAAAAAAGAAAATAGCAAAGAAGTACAGTAACCCAATCAGACTCCACAGTCCAAGGAGTTTGCATACTCACCAAGGCACAACATCTCTTCTCTCCGATTTGGAGTCGCCGGTAACTGAGTTAACTCGGTGGAGTTTACTGTTTTGTGTATGTGTAATCACTAATCAGTGACCCGATGGATCCGAGTGGGATGATGAACGAAGGAGCACCCTTCAACCTGGCGGAGATCTGGCAGTTTCCGTTGAACGGAGTTTCCAACGTGGCTCAACAGCTCGAGGGTTCGAATCTAACCACCACCATCTCCGGCAATCAGGCGCGTATGACCCACGCGCTCTCGCAGGCGGTGATCGAAGGCATCTCCGGCGCGTGGAAGCGGCGAGACGAAGAGTCCGAGTCGGCGAAGGTCATCTCGACCAATAACTGCAATGGCGCGGTACGGTATTCGTTTGATAATACTATTTCTGTAAATAATTTATATTTCTTTATTAATATGCAACAGTTTCATTGGTTTTCATATTATCTATTTAGGATTTGTATACTTTGTTTTAAGTCTGAACTATGAACAAGAAACAGCTTTAACATTGATGCAATTTCTAAATAAAAAAACTCTAGAAAACATAATAGAAGCTGAGAGTTGTGTGTATATATTTATCATTAAAATTCGTTATTTGTTTCATTTGGCCACTCATAATTTTTGGGTTTGATCAGAACGAAGGTGAGAACAAAAGACAGAAGATAGATGAAGTGTATGATGGTAAAGCGGAAGCAGTATCGCCGGAGACGAACATGGATCAGAAGAAGCTTGAACTAACAAAAGATTATATTCATGTTCGAGCAAGAAGAGGTCAAGCTACTGATAGTCACAGTCTAGCTGAAAGAGTAATGATTGATTACAACTCTTTTTCTTTAGCTGAGGAAAAGTTCATTTGGGGTTAAGGCAAATTTTCTTTTGTTTTGGCAGGCGAGAAGAGAAAAAATAAGCGAGCGGATGAAAATCTTGCAAGATCTTGTGCCAGGATGTAACAAGGTTTATCATAAAGTTTTCAGAGAGATTCTCTCTTTTTGCATTCACATTCACATATATATAGATATATCAACAGAGTGTAAAAGTTAAAATTTTATATTTTGCAAGGTCATTGGAAAAGCACTTGTTCTAGATGAGATAATCAACTATATACAATCATTGCAACGTCAAGTTGAGGTGAAACCTCCTTTAATTTCTTCTCTATTGTTAATATATTTTATTCTATACGTACATGCGTGTCTAATAAGTCTTGCTTGCGATTTTCAGTTTTTATCGATGAAGCTCGAAGCAGTCAACACAAGAATGAACCCTGGCAGCGAGGTTTTTCCACCGAAAGAGGTGATGAAACTGTTGTGATTCTCATGACTCATCACCTCAATCTTCTACGTTTCTTTTGTGCCTAATCTCTGTAAATTTGGTAAAACTCAGTTTGGTCAGCAAGCGTTTGAGAATCATGAGATGCAGTTTGGGTCGCAATCTACAAGGGAATACACTAGAGGAGCATCACCAGAGTGGTTGCATATGCAGATACGTTCAGGTGGTTTTGAAAGAACATCCTCATAAAGTCCCCAAAAGAAAAAGCATACATACATTATATATCTCATTCTCATTTATAGTTAATATATATATATATATATATATATATGGATGTGAATATAAACGTCTTATTGTTATATGAAAGAAGAAGAAGATGGATATAGTTAGTTTCACATCAAGCAAAAAGCTGGGAAAGAGCTCGATTTTTAGAATGTCGTTCAAAATGTATCTTCGCATGCTCCTTTTTGAAAGTAGAAACCTCTTGTACAAGAACGTACGTTCTTCATTATAAAATTTATCTCAGTTCTTACCAAGCTCCATTCTTTTACTTCCATCACACAGGCACAATGTCACACTAAACATATAACACTACACTAAATAATAATATAAAGATATACATCTTGATTTGCCTTTGAATATATATTCCTCTGCTTGTGACTGTAGTAGGTATTGAAATAGTCACATATGATTGAAAGCAGAGAAACTGTCTTCTGGTATGATAACGTCTATATTGGACAACAATGTGGATTGAGCGAGAGAAGCAGCGATTCATTTCGTCGCAACATATGTTTTGCTTTTTCTTGTTTAGGTTACACGTGTTGGAGGAAAGGGGAAATGAATAGATTTATTGGGCTTAATGTAATGGGCTAAAAAACGAGATGTACTGTTTTGCTCTTTATGTGATTCCTCCATATTCATCGACAAGATTGTTCTGGAATTTTAATCGAATTGTCCTCCCATAATATATATTCATCTCCTAATGACTATTCTCATGTCTTCATTTGTGTCGTCTAATTTGAAAAACGTAAGTTTCTATTTTTTCTGAGCTTCGCTCCTTCATCTTTGGTGAAGACAGAGTTGTGAATCTTCCGCCGGTGGAAGTTAGAGAAAGTCATGTATGCGTTAAAGTGAATGATTAATCCCTCTGATATCAACCGAATTGAAGGTTGATACTTCATTAGCTCTATAATTTGATTCGTGATTAACATATGTTGGGGAAGAATGTTTGTTTGTGAACTGAGTTTTGATTAATTTATTAATTATGCCAGTTAATAGAGGAGTTATTTGATTAGAGAGAAACTTATAACTTTCAGTATAGGAGAGAATCTATGTAACAAGTATGAGAATCGATTAACAGATGGTCATTTAGATATTGAGTTTGATGTTGAATTGTTTTTTGAGTACCTATTAAATTAGTATTCATCTTCTCTATTCTCATTTTTAGCAAAGCTAGGAGACTAGATATAAATGACCATTTAGATACTGAGTTTGATGTTATGAAATTTGAAATTTGTTTAGGTGTTTAATGTTAAGTTACATGGACTTCCAACCTAAAATTAATTGGCAGAAAATGGATTTGTCTATGCTCCTTATATGTTAATTAAGATTCCTTTCAACTTTCGATGTGAGATAATATTCTTAATACGTCACCTCGAGACGATGGCTACTTTGGCCATTGATTTCGGTAATATTTGGACAAGGATCGACGGACCATCTTTGGGTCACATATCGATAATGGATAATGTTGGATTATTTGGATCGGGTTCTGATACCATATTAAGTTACATGGACTTGCAACCTAAAACCAATTGACAGTAAGTGGATTGGTCCATACTCCTTATATATTAGTTATGATACTTTCCAACTTCTGATGTTGGATAATATCCCTAATATTTACCTGGTGCGGTCTCCCATACCAGCGGTTAATGGTTTACGAAGGTGTTGGGGAAGTCTATGCAATTGGTTTTAGTGTCAATGGACTTTCTCCTGGTGTTTGGGTTATTCCATATCCACCATCTTAGTTCAGTTAATGGTGGATATGTAAGCTTTTATTTATTCCATCACACGGTCCAACTTTTGTAAGCTTTATTTACATCCGACTGAATTTAATGGTTTTGTTCCTGGCAAGAGGATTTCAAATCGTTGGACCATTTTTTTCTGTTTTCTATCTTTGGACATTGTTTACTCTATTGTTTCACTCAATTTCAAAAGCGTTTTCATGTTTCCTTTTTGTGGGGTGCAGTAGCAGGGTGCAGTAGCAAGAAACCTCCATAGAGGGTGCAACTCCTATGACTACTCAATCGATTAGCATAAACTAAAGGAAGAGGTGGGAGTTCAAGGGTTAGCCGAGGAGGTAGACAACAAAGGAAAGAAGGTGTAGGGAGGGAGTTAGCAGTGCATGCTTACTAACCAGCAAGGCAGCTTCGCTACACTTGCTTTGCAGCTCATGCTACTTATTATAATTCCCACCAACACAAACAAGAGTGAGTAGTTGATTGTTGAGGAGATAGCTGCAGCTCCCGGAGGGAGTGAACTACAGTTCAAGGGGGAGCATAGCAAGGGCCAATACCGGCTATGAGGCCAGTTGTGACACCCGATTCCGGTCATATATAAACCAAACCGGTAATGTCAAGATAACCGTCTGCGCTAGAAGCCAAACGCATTATCTACTTTACAAGTTCTAGGCGATCACACAACCACATAAGAGATCCAAACAGCAATCAAACAAGCAAAGTGTTTCAAGCACAAGTAAATGTTCGTTTTAAGTCTCCTGCAACTTCAGTTTCAAAACCCTAAACACATCTAGGCGATCACAGAAAAATCAACAACCTAAAAAGACCTAGCTGGGACTCAAATCTAAAGCAGAAAGTATGTTATGCTTGGTTTAACCCCAAACTATGCATTCAGGAAAGCAAAGTTCACGATATTCCAGCACAGATTCATCCTTACCTTGGCCTAGGTGGCGAAGGAGGTGGCGAGGGGAGGTAAGGAGAAGAAAAGGAGGCTAGATGCTCCACGGCGGCTAACCACGCCGGGTTGATCGATCTCCGGGGGTGATGCTGCGGCGGCGCATGACTCCGAGAGGACTCCGACTCGTCATCAACGTGAAACACCGGGGCGGAGCGGCTGGAAGGAACGGCTACGGGCCCATCCCGATGGTGGTGGACTCGCGGCTGCTCCACCGCGGCGGCGGACGACGATGGCTGCTCCGGGGAGCAGCTGGGACAATCATCAGAGGGCGGGGAAGACGAAGAGCGTGACATGGTGAGGAGAGAGAGGATGCAGCGATGAGAGAGAAAGAAAGAGGAGAGAGAGACGGCGGAGAGAGAATACTACGGCATCGGAAAAGAGAGAGAAGAGAGTTCTAGGGTTTCTCTGTTCTCTGGAAAGTTTAGAATGAAGAAAAATAATGGGAAGGGCTCTCTATTAATACACAATGAGAGACTTGGATAAAAAGTAAAGATAACCACGGAAAAGAAAATGATAATTATGAATAAGAATATTCACAATTCTTTTAGGAAAAGGTTCATTAATATCACATTAAAAATATAATATTTATCTAAACCAGGAATTAATTATCTCTCAAAGGAAAAATGAAATATCGAGAAATGGGAATTGGGCTTAAACCGTCTTAGTTCAGGATTGAACTTTCCAAACGGGCCTGGTTTGTAAAACCGGGTCATTACAATTCTCCCTCCCTTAACGAGAATTCGTCCCAAATTCTAAGGCATGAACCTCCACGGTCGGCGTAAGGCGATGAGGAAGACTTGGAAGTCATACCAAAGAAGGCTAAATCGAAATGTTCATAGAACGGAAGACTCGGAAACTATCATTTCTAAGCAAGCAAAACTTTTTATTAAAATAAATCAAGCAATTAATAAACATAGAATAGGGCTCTTAAATCTAATGGATAAAATAAAAACTAAGTTAATTTCTAAAATGAAAATGAAATCCCCCTCCAATATTCCCCAAAAGCGCAGCCCTAATCTAGATAGTCTTCAAGCAGCTTCTCCTAGCCACATCTCGGGTCGAAGTTGTCGTCGCCGGGGACCTCGCATTCGGACGGGTCTGACTCAGAGTCACCCTCGTCTTCCTGCCTCCACTCCTCCTTGATTTCCTGCTCGATCAGCTGAGCCATGTGAATGACTTGGCCAGTCGACTCGATGAGTCCGCCCTCCTCGGGGTGTGGTATACTCCCTCAGATTTCCGGTCTCAACTCTTCTCGGAAGGCTATGGCTAGGTGAAGATCACAGCAAGTTGCCTGACCATTCACTTCCATTTTATGGAGGTAAGCCAAGCGGTATTGCCCTATGGAACGTGCTCCCTGGTTTAACCGAGGGAAGGACGGCTGAACATCCAGCCTAACATTTGGCGCGGGGTTCTTGCGGGGGCGTCCGCGCTTACGTGTTGGCTGGGCCTGTTAGGACATCACTCTACCAGAAGAGGATCGACACGAACCCCGAGCTTGTACAGCTCTGAGTACGTCTGTCGATAGCGCATCACAAGTGTTCACCTCCTCCCGGGTTGGCATCTTCCGAGCGGGTCGGGCGAGTCTAGCAGGAACCATGTGGATCGAAGTGGTCCGTTTCCGAGCTGTCTCGCGGGTATGAGCCCTGTTTGGCACGGGAAAGAAAAACCTAAGAGTTAGATGTCAAGTATGCATATGTGTGAGTCATAACAGTTGTAAAGCAAGTCAAGTGCGCACAAAGGATTCGCAAACACTAAAACTTTTTAGGACTGACCCTTCGGGACAAAACCGAAGAGTCTTAACCTTGGCTCTGATACCAAACTTGTGACACCCGATCTCGGTCATATATAAACTGAACCGGCAATGTCAAGATAACCGTCTGCGCTAGAAGCCAAACGCATTATCCACTTTACAAGTTCTAGGCGATCACACAACCACAGAAGAGATCCAAACAGCAATCAAACAAGCAAAGTGTTTCAAGCACAAGGTTCGTTTTAAGTCTCCTGCAACTTCAGTTTCAAAACCCTAAACACATCTAGGCGATCACAGAGCAATCAACAACCTAACAAGACCTAGCTAGGACTCAGTTCTAAAGCAGAAAGTAGGTTATGCTTGGTTTAACCCAAAACTATGCATTCAGGAAAGCAGAGTTCACGATATTCAAGCACAGATTCATCCTCACCTTGGCCTAGGTGGCGAAGGAGGTGGCGAGGGGAGGTAAGGAGAAGAGAAGGAGGCGAGATGCTCCATGGCGGCTAACCACGCCGGGTTGATCGAT